CTCGTTCCGGGTCTCATACAAATCTGGGTTCCCCTCGGTTATGACAGCTTTACTGTTTTATGTTATTTGTTTTATTGTTACTGTTTGCTGCTTTATGATTTGGTAGTTCATTACTTTATGGTATTTGTTGAGTTCATAGTTTTTATGCTTGTATGTGTTGGTGTACAGCACTTTGGCCAACGGTGTTGTTTTAAAGTGCTTTATGAATAAAGTTGTATTGTATTGTACTGTATTTTTTTGGAGAAACCTTATAGTGACAAGCATGCTCACACAGATGTTTAGATCCAGGTGTTTATCAGATGCACACTCAGTTGGGTTGTGGTAGATTTATTTTTCACATGAACCTCTCCGGCTCCTGCTCTTTGCTCAGGTCTGATGAGGAAGTGAAGCCTTCCTGCTCGGCCCTGGAGGAGGACGAAGGCTTCAGCGACTGGAGCCACAGGTTGGAACACCGCAGCGAGCACGAGCTGCAGGAAGCCTGCCGGGCGAAAGAGCATGTGCCCGCTGCACCATCAGGTCCTGAGGAGAAGAAACAGCAGAAGGATGAAGAGGAGCATGAAGGAAGCAGCTTCGATGAAGGTTCAACACATCACCCAGAAAAGGTTTCATTTTGCTGTTTTGATTGAATGTCTAATGAAAAATTTAATCTTTGCTCAAAAATTATTGTTTCTCATGATGATTTGTAGCAGCTTTAGTTTGTGTACAACATGAGAAGTATTTTTACTAACAGACAGAGAAGAAATTTACACTTTTACTTTTTTATTTTCAGACATCCGGCACCCGAAGCACGTACAGGACACCCCCCAGCTCCTCTGTCTTGGTGTCCCAGGACTCCAGGCTGCAGCCCAGTGCAGGCCAAGCCTCCGACAGGACGTCCCACCAGGCAGCAGAAAGCACCAAGTCTCAGTATGTTCTCCACAACCCTCAGCTTTCATCTCTCTTTGCCTAAAAATCTCTTCTTTTAGTGTCAATTTGTAAAACGTCAGTAAATCTACAGAATCACTTTTAGCAAAATACACAAACTTTGAAAACAACAAAAACAGTTAAATCGTGTCATCTGGACTAGTTTCTTTAAGTGAGAATCGTTTTGCCCCCATCCAGAGGACTTCCTCAGTCTACGGCCTGCCAATCTATTTGTCCCATAGGTGTCCTTCACTGCTGTGATTCAAGCCAACTTCCTGTTGGAATCTCAGAAGTCGACTTTTAACACGTGCAAAACAATCAATCATCATCTAATCGTTATCTACCTGGATAATTGAGCTTACAGATCTTCTTTTTTTTTTTTACACAAACTTTGGTTTAAAATAATTTCAGGAAACAAGTGCTTGTTTCAAGATTGCTGCTTTAACATTTTATCAGTAAAATATAGTTTCAAAATAAAAGCAAAAACATCTGTAGAAACAATTTTTTCTACTTGATGATTTATTTTCCTTTAATGCTCCACTCAAAAAGTAAATTTTAACAATTTTAAATGGCCGTTTGTAAGATTTTTTATCTAATTAGGGACTAGCTAAAGAGCCTGAACCTCATTGTGTACCTCACAAATGTTATATCCATACAACCGGCTCGGCACCATGACTTTTATTAGCGTTTCGAGTCACCATGGTAACGTAAGTCGCAAACAAAGACGCCATTTTTCTCGTTGAAAAACACTGACCGAACTCTGAACAGCCTCTGTCACAGTGAGGTCACATGACCTGCAGTGAAGAGGTCTCTGAACAAAACCCTGATTAACTTTTGGAGCTTTTGGTTCAAGATGGCTGCCACAGCTAGCTCAGAAAACTCAAAATTGACCATAACTCAGTCATTCTTTGACATATTGAGATTAAATTTGGTACGGTCGTAGCTGAGAGCGACTTGTTATACATTCCTGATGCAAATCAAATATCTAAGATGGCCACTTTAGCGAAAAGGCAAAATATATGATAACTCAGCTATTTTAAATGATACTGAGCTGAAACTTGGTGTGGTGGTACCTGACAGCCATGTACAACACATTCTGAATACAGATTAAAAATTCAAGATGGCCACAAAGATAATTTCAAATGCATATAACTCAGTCGTTTTTAGAGCTATTCAGATAAAATCTGGTGTCTTGGTAGCTGAGAAGAATCTCTAATAGACCCCTATTGCAAATCAAAAATCCAAGATGGCCATCTAAGCGTAAAAAGAAAAAAATCTATAAATCAGCAATTTTTAGAGATATTCAGCTGAAATTTGGTGTGATGGTAGCTGAGAGCAAGGCCAAATAAATACTGAATTCAAAAAAAAAAAAAAACATATACGGCCACCAAAGCTAAATTCAAATGGCTTTAACAAAAGCTATTTTTATACATAGAGCTGAAATTAGGTGTGGTTATAGCTAAGAACGTTCCCCATCACATATTGAATCCAAATCAAAAATCCAATATGATCTCATCTTAAAAGAAAAAAAGGCCATCACTCATCGAGTTTTTGCAATGTTGAGCTGAAATTTGGTGTGATAGCTGAGAACAAACACCAATGCATAGTATTCCATCCATTTTCTTTACCCGTTCATTCCATTTTGGATCACGGGGGTCGCAAGTGCCCATGTCCAGCAATCACTGTGCGAGGGGCGGGGTACACCCTGGACGGGTCTCCAGTCCATCACAGGAACACATAGAGACAAACGAGACAAACAAGCATTCACTCTCTCACTCACACCTAGAGACAATTTAGAGTTACCAATCAGCCTAACATGCATGTTTTTGGTCTGTGGGAGGAAACCGGAGCACCCGGAGAAAACCCACGCATGCACAGAGAGAACATGCAAACTCCACCCAGAAAGGCCCCTGGACCGGGGTTTGAGCCAAGGACCTGCTCGCTGAGAGGCAGCAGCTCTACCAGTTGCACCACCGTGCTGCCCATGCATAGTATTGTCAAATCTAAATTTTAAAATGGTCACAACATGGCAGTCCTCGTCAAAATTTCTCCAGGAACTTTCTAGTGGTTAATAATGATATAGCTTTAACATCCAATTATTATTATTTTTTTAATAAAAAAACCTATGTGAGACAGTTTAAATGGAATTCCCTGTTTAATATAAAGGCTAACATTGTGCAAGGCTGGAGGCATCACCACCCGTCAGTAATCATCCATCATATGTTTGTGTGTTTTCTTGACTGGTTCGGTTGGTTAAGGTTTTTTTTTAACCTGCATAGCCCGAATGCGGAAAACAAACAATCATATAATTATCATATTCTGCAACAGTTATTGCCCCTTAAGAGCATTTGGGATGATAATGGTTGGCTTTATTAATTTTTTTTTTAAACACACTTAATATTTTTCTCTTTTTTTTGGCTCCGAACGTTATCGGATGATCTTTGACCCGTTTAATGATCTTCTTCACAGCAGAGGAGCTTGCAGGATGGATGGAGAGGTGGAGCAGAGGATGCAGGAAGAGGAGGCGATGTTGAAGTCAACTTTGCAGAGGGAGCCAGCAGAAACTGCACAGAGCAGAGGAGATGAAGACGATCAGGAGGAGCTGAAAGAAGATTCTGACATCACGAGGGAGGAGAGCGACCGGAGAGAAGAGGATGAAACGCAAAACAAGGTGTGCAGCAGCTAATGTAAACTCAGGGTTAGCATTCTTATACCATGTGCAAAATTATACCATGGATTATTTTGTCCTAATTTGAATTAGTTTATAAATATTTTTTTCTATTTACAAAGACAATAAACATGTTAGACACTTTCACACCTGATGAATCATGAGAGACATAAAATAATGATTATGCTGTAGATAACTTAAATGACCAGATCTGTATTAAAGTGTGTGATTTCTACATTTATGTAACAGTATTACATCGATGACATCACAAGAGAGCATTACAGTTTATTTCTTATCTTATTATGTAAAACTGAACACCAATAAATGTGATTTCAATTCTTTCAATATTCTAACGTCATTTAAAGGTTACAGTGTTTCTTCTAATACCAGCAAACATTATAATGTTCAATTTCCATTCCGTCACCTTGTTATCCATCCATCCATCCATCCATCCATCCATCTTTACCCGATTATTACATTTTGGGTCACGGGGGTCGCTGGTGCCCATGTCCAGCAATCACTGTGCAAGGGGCGGGGTACACCCTGGACGGATCGCAAGTCCATCACAGGGACACACAGAGACAAATGAAACAAACAAGCATTCACTCTCACTCACACCTAGGGACAATTTAGAGTTACCAATCAGCCTAACATGCATGTTTTTGGTCTGTGGGAGGAAACCGGAGTACCCGGAGAAAACCCACGCATGCACGGCGAGAACATGCAAACTCCACCCAGAAAGGCCCCTGGACCGGGGTTTGAACCAAGGACCTGCTCACTGAGAGGCAGCAGCTCTACCTGTTGCGCCACCGTGCTGCTCGTCACCTTGTTAATCAAACCAATTATAAAAGAAGTTAGGATGCTGTTTAAAATGACATTTAAAACTGAAACAATGATCAGCTTAAAAATAGTGAAACCATTTCAGAATGTTGGTCCTTAATGGAAAATATGGGAAACTTTAAACATCCCAAGTCTGTAAGATTTTAAGAATCTGGATTGAGCTTAAGGGCAGCATGGTGGCACAGCTGGTAGAGCTGCCGCCTCTCCGCGAGAAGGTCGACAGTTTGAATCCCGACCGGGAACTTTCTGGGTGGAGTTTACATGTTCTCTTCGTGCATATGTGTGTTCTCCAGGTACTCCAGTTTCCTCCCACAGACCAAAAACATGTATGTTAGACTGATTGGTAACTCTAAATTGTCCCTAGGTGTGAGTGAGAATTCTTGTTTGTCTCTATGTGTCCCTGTGATGGACTGGAGACATGTCCAGGGTGTCCACACCCCTTGCAGTGATGGTTAGACTTGGGCTCCAGTGACCGCCGCATCCCATAAAGGAAGAAGCGAGTACAAGAAACAGGATGGATGTTTCCCACAACTTCTAATCTTTTATTTTAATGTTTAACGTTCAATCACCATCGAGTTTGTGGAGCGTTTTGTTCTTTCATTGGTTTTTGTTAACTAAGCATTGACCAAGTCTACAGGCAGGAGGTGGAACACCTGGAGAGCTGGTGCAAAGATAATAACCTTCACATCAATGTGAAGAAGACAAAGGAGGTGATTGTGGACTTTAGAAGGAACAAACACACCTACACCCCCCTGAACATAAGAGGATCTGCGGTGGAAGTGGTCTCCAGCTACAAGTACTTGGGTGTACACATGAATGACAACCTCAGCTGGAGCAACAACACCACCAGCCTGATCAAGAAAGCTCATCAGAGACTTTACTTCCTCAGACGGCTGAGACGAGCTGGTCTGGGAAGTTCAGTCCTCACCTCCTTCTACAGGTGTGCAGTGCAGAGCATCCTGTGCTCCAGCATCAACGTGTGGCATGGAGGCTGCACAGCTGCAGAAAGAAAAGCTTTGCAGAGAGTGGTGAAGGCTGCACAGAAGACTGTTGGAGTCAGCCTCCCCACCATCACAGACATCTACACCTCCAGATGCAGGAAGAGGGTCACCTGCATCATGAAGGACCCCACTCACCCAGCACACACACTTTTTGTCCCACTCCCCTCAGGAAGGAGGTTAAGGAGCATTAAGTGTAGAACCACTAGACTGAGGAACAGCTTCTACCCTGAGGCTGTTAGACTCACGAATCTCTAAACAGAATAATCACGGTGAAAAAATCACATCATGTTGCTGCTGATCTGTTTCATGTTGCTGCTGATCTGTTTCATG